GAGTACTGGAACTATCTAAAGGCATCCCATAGAAAGCTAATGTAGGTGTTAGGTATGAGGTGCAATTGATTTCTGTCAGGTTTATCACGTGGACTGTCAGGAGTAGCAGACTAGACACAGACGCAGGCTGGTCTTTCAATGAATAGTTCAGGAGAAGTATCGGGCTGGAACGGACAGATTCTGAATATTCCTTGAAGTCATTGATCTATGTTATTGTGAGTTTACTTAAAACTGAGTCCTTGCTCAATCATCCATTGTCCATTTACTGAGAGGAGGGATTATAATTGGAAATGCATAGACTTTGCACCTCAGCAATGGAAGACCTGAAAGACATTCTTAACAATGTAACTGTTAAGAGTATCATCTTAAAGACTCCATGCTTCTTCAAAGGGAAGGTTTCTGAAAGACTCCTTAGTCTCCATGACTGTATTGGAGGACAGAAGGCTAATTTTGACAAGTACCAGCCAAAAGGACAACTACCCTGGAGCCATTTATTCTGGCTTAGTTACTTTTCTTGTTGCTGAGTCAAAATACCAACACCCAGAGTTAAAGGAGGATGTTTTATTGTAGCTTACAATCTGTAGAGGATTCAGTTCATAGTTGAGTGCCAGGGTTGCATGAAGGCATCACACAGGAAAAACATGTTATAGCAGGCAGGCAGAAGACAGCAGAGCAGCAAGCAACTTCAATCAGTGAGGAGCAAGCCTCTCTTTTAATCTGTTCTTGGCTACATCCTTTTTGGGTGGTGTCACCCACACTCAGGATAGGCCTTTCCTTTACCCACAACCAGAACTATGCTTAACCTACCAGTAGACTTAGTAATCTTGCACACTTAATCCCAACATCACACACTTAATCCCAGCATCACATGACTTAATCCCAATATCATGTAGCCTAGAACCAGCTACCTCTGAAAAGCCCCACTTATGAGCACATGATCCTTTGAGGGGGATAACTAGATATGAGCCATAACATTGAGCAACCTTTTGTATTCTTTACTTCTCTGACCCTGAGCAACATACTTCACCTTAGTTATGCAGTTTTAGTTTCCCATAAAAATCACTAATTCTACCAAAAAATCACTAATTATATGGGTCCTCTAGCTCTTAGTTTCATGATAACTTTCCTATAGATAGTAGTTCTGAGATGTGTTGTATGGTAACAATGTTGGACAAAGTTACTTTTAGGGATTTGAAAGAAATTTTATTTGTTGGGAAAAATATTTCTATTTAAGTGTCAGATAGGTGATCCTTTAACATTAGAATATAAGAATTCCACCCTAGGATGATGATAACACAGCTATTTTCTGAAGTTGTATTCTGTGAAGAACCATGACGTTTGATTACATGTGCACAGAACACTGATCAGTTTACCTTTAATCACCTGTTTCTATACTCACACCATCCTACTTCTTTATCCCATAAATATCCCCAATTCTGTCTTGGTGCAGGTGGATTTGAGTCGTGATACACATACATAAATAAAGCACTTCCTCTGTGTTACATTATTTCATTCTAGCACCAAATAAATAGACAAATGTATTAGTCTGATGCAAGTAACTGAATTACCAAGAAATTACTTATTTGCACGAGTGACAGCTCTGGGTATTGAATTCTGCCAGGTGAGCTCCAAAGTACATATCCAGCCACCTTGGGTTCTAACCTCATTCACATTAGGTATCTCAATGTTAGTGTCGGTTTTTCATTGTTTGGACAAAATACCTGACATACCCAACATAAAGGGAAAAAAAGGCCTATTCTTCCACACTATTTCACAGGTTTCAGTCCATGGTCTGCTGGTTCATCTGATGAAGGGTTGTAACATCGAGATGGGAGGACCTAGAGGAGCAAAGCTGCTCACCTTATGGCAGCCAGGAAGTGGAGGAGGAAAGAGCTCAAGAAAAGATGCACTTCCAAACCACTTTCTTCTGAAATCTATTTCCTTCTGCTAGGCCCCACCTACTAATACACTACTCAACTAAGAACTCATCTATCAGTTTATTGATCACAGTAGTGAACACACCATCCAACCGTCTCTCTAGGCATGTCTTAAACCCAAAAGTTGACAAGAAAGAGTAACCATTATAATCTGCTTTTTATCAAAAATATTGATGAGACAACTCTGTCTAGACTCAAAAATCCATCATCTTTCTATCTCTCAAAGAGGCATCAACAGTTCAAGTTTAGTAAAATCCACCTGCCTGTTCCCAAGGACAGAGATGCAGCATTCAATTATACGGTGCCAATAATTTTCTCAGAACACACATGGCCTCTGAAACCACAGATTTCTCCCTCTGTTCCAATCTGTGCAAGATTATATATGTATATTTATTCCTGTTGATTTTCTCTCCTCGTTATAACTATTGACTGCACTGCTTATAATTTCTACTTTCTTTACCCCAATTTGTAAACATATTATCTATGGCCAGATTAGCAAAAACTTCTGAAATGAAGGAAGTAAGAGAAAGTCAAGACTTGAAGAGTTAGAAGAGAATAAAAAGACATATTTTCAACAATGATGGAGTTGGCAGTTTTCTCAACTAACAGAACTGTTTTCTACTCTGAAGCAGAGACATATAATGGTGAAGGATTCTGAGGGTAATAGCTGTGGAGTACTGTGTAGGACAAGTTGCACGCATGGGGCTTTCAGTCTCTGCAGGGCTTGACCTAGCTCTGGAATGGCTCAAAAGCAGTCATTGACTATTCAGGTCATGGACGTGTCTTAGTGATCACAGTCTGGGGAAATAGCTGTCTTTCCAAATGGTTTACATAAGTTTTATGTTATTTTCTGTAACCATATAGGAGGTGAAAGAGGAGTGAGAAAATGACAAGGAATTGGTCCAGCTAGCAGCCTACCACTGTAGTCTCAATAAAGTAAATTTTGTCTCCCCAGAGCTAAGGCAATTTTCATCATGGCAACCATAGATGAGGTATTGTTACAAGTATCTAGGTGTACAGACCAAGAATTATATGAAATATACCACAGGGTATAGTAGTCATCACATAGTATGTGCGTGTGTGTCAATGTCTGTGTGTGTGTGTGTGTGTGTGTGTGTGTGAAATATATAACCCACCTTCTCTGAAAATAAGACCTAGTAGGAAATCAGTAAATCTGGAAAACTAGAAGACAAACTTTCCCATGGACACGCCCAGGTCTGCCTACCCCAAGCAGTAGCACTCAGGGAATATGCTGTGCTAAACTGGAACAGCAACAGCTCAAAGTCTTTCCTTCCTTCAACTTCATGCTGTAGACCCTTAACTCTGTTCTGCATTTGGCACAGAGCATGGGGATAAAGTTTTCTGTTCACCAAGCAATTTTAAGCATTTCATTTTTTTCTTTTAATTAATTTTATTAGTACATTTTAGGTACACAATATAATATAATCACTAGAAATTTGCATCTTTACATGATCTATCTTGGTTTTTATTTTTTCCCTTCCCCTGCCCTCCCTCCAACCCCTCCATCCCTTCTTATTTACAAAGACTTTGTTTCCATTTTTTTTTCTCATATGTTTTTTTTCTATAATAAAGACATATTGGTAGCTTTGTAAACACACAAAAAATGGATGAGAGAGTTCATAAAGTTGGCAAGGAGAGGAAGAATTGACACAAAAGTTTCTGAGAGAGTATATTGAATCTTTTTGAAGGATTTCATGTTCTACTTTTATCCTGAAATAAAGCTAGAATAAGTTAGAGATTTTTACAAAACACAGAATTAAAGTAAGCAACTAAAACCTATTGATATGGCAATTATATGCATACATATAAAATGTCATCTATTATCTATAGATACACTTGGGTAAGAAGTTAAATAAGCCATAATAAAAACGCTTAAAATTAACATCCTCAGGTTATTGTAGGAGTGTGGTGTAATTGCTTTATAAAATCCTAAATCTATGGGAAGTCAAACTGTCAAAGTGCGTCCTAAAATAATATTTAATATATAAACAGATGTATTACAGGCAAGCAATGGCATTGTGAGTTCTCAGAGATCAATTTGTTCTTCTGAGATGATACTATAATACTGTCAAAATACAAAAGAATAGCTGTATTTACCACAAAAGGCCACAAGGAAAGGGGAAGAGAAATTTAATTAAGGCAACTCTCAACATGTAGCTATTTCGATACGCTCCAATGAACATATACCTCATTCATATTCAAATATTTGTAATAGTGTATTGCAATTTTCATGAGTAAATATAAAATATTAATTACAGACCAATCGTTCCAATTGGAAATTCTTACCTCATGTCTTTAAAATAAATAAATATATATATACATAGTGTAATGTTGAGGTATATGGCTAAATTTGGGACAGTTGTCAAACAATTAATCATTCAGAAAGGAGTACCTAGTTCTTCCCTGTCACAAATAAAAAACACAAAAAGCTATTTAGAAACTTAAATACATTAGGTGTGTCCATTAGTCATGGCATCAGAAAGCACAGCCTCTCTGCATAACCTGAAAATCAGGGGCATAGTGAGCATCCTTATGTCTGACTAACATTAGTGGGGTTATCTGACTATTTAGGTGGTGTAAAATTTTCTAACTTTTCTCTTCACTTACGTAAGTAAAAACAAACAGGAGATAGAACACAAAACTAACCAGACACTATATTATGCAATCAAAACTTACCCTGTTATTGTAATTTTGTTTTTTCTTTCTTTGTATATGACTTTCTTTCCATCTCTCTCCCTCCCTCACCCTCTCCTTCTTTCTTTCCTTTTGTTTTCGTTTTTCTGTATTACTATTTGCTCTGAAATGTGATTTGCTAGAGATAGTTGTTGCTTCATCCTTGTTAATATTCCTAATGGGATGGCACATAGTAGGAACTCCAAAAATGTCTAAAAGAAAGAATCGTAATTCATATTTTTGTGTAGATTTAACTTATTTGCAGAAAGCTTTTCTCTTTAAGAAGACAACAATGGGCGCCTGCGTCCTCCCGCCCAGAACCACCCCGCGCATGCGCCGGGAGGACTCACGAAGCCTGGCAGGCCCGGTGCTATCATGGCCGAAGATTACTTCGGGAATACCGCCGAGTGGGGTGAGGAGGCAGACGGTGGCCAGCAGCAGGAAGATGATTCCGGAGAAGGAGAAGATGATGCAGAGGTGCAGCAGGAATGCCTGCATAAGTTTTCCACCCGGGACTATATCATGGAGCCCTCCATCTTCAACACTTTGAAGAGGTATTTTCAGGCTGGAGGGTCTCCGGAGAACGTCATCCAGCTCTTATCTGAGAACTACGCTGCTGTGGCCCAGACTGTGAACCTGCTGGCTGAGTGGCTCATTCAGACAGGTGTTGAGCCACTGCAGGTTCAGGAAACTGTGGAAAATCACTTGAAGAGTTTATTGATTAAACATTTTGACCCGTGCAAAGCAGATTCTATTTTTACAGAAGAAGGAGAGACCCCAGCTTGGCTTGAACAAATGATTGCACACACCACTTGGAGAGATCTTTTTTACAAGCTGGCTGAAGCTCATCCAGACTGTTTGATGCTTAACTTTACCGTTAAGCTGATTTCCGATACAGGGTACCAAGGGGAGATCACCAGCTTGTCAGCAGTTGGAAGTGTTCTCTAGAGTGCTTCGAACCTCACTAGCCACAATCTTGGACGGAGGAGAAGAAAACCTTGAAAAAAATCTTCCCGAGTTTGCTATGGTGTGCCACGGGGAGCACACGTGCCTGTTTTCCCAGGCCATGATGTCCGTGCTGGCTCAGGAGGAGCAGGGCAGCTCTGCGGTACGCAGAGTCGCACAAGAGGTGCAGCGCTTCTCCCAGGAGAAAGGCCATGATGCCAGTCAGATCACACTGGCCTTGGGCACAGCTGCCTCGTATCCCCGTGCCTGCCAGGCCCTTGGGGCTGTGCTGTCCAAAGGAGCCCTGAACCCTGCAGACATCACAGTCCTGTTCAAGATGCTCACAAGCATGGACCCTCCTCCCATTGAACTCATCCGGGTTCCGGCCTTCCTGGACCTGTTCATGCAGTCTCTCTTCAAACCAGGCGCCCGGATCAACCAGGACCACAAACACAAGTACATCCACCTCTTGGCTTATGCAGCAAGTGTGGTTGAGGCGTGGAAGAAGAACAAGCGGGTGAACATTAATAAAGATGAGCTGAAGTCAACATCGAAAGCTGTGGAAACTGTGCACAATTTATGCTGTAATGAAAACAAAAGGGGCATCTGAACTGGTGGCAGAACTGAGCACACTTTATCAGTGCATTAGGTTTCTGGTGGTAGCAGTGGGGGTACTGAAATGGGTGGATTGGACCGTGTCACTTCCAGCTGCAGACTGACCATACTCCAGTGCACCTGGCGTTGCTGGAGGAGATCAGCACCTGCCACCAGCTCCTGCACCCCCAGGTTCTGCAGCTGCTTGTTAAGCTCTTTGAGACTGAGCACTCCCCGCTGGCCGTAATGGAGCTGAAGAAGACCCTGCTGGACCGGACGGTTCACCTGCTGAGTCGAGGTGCTGGATGTCATTGCTCCTCCATACACCTCGGACTTCGTGCAGCTCTTCCTTCCCATCTTGGGAAATGATAGCATTGCAGGCACCATCAAAACAGAAGGCGAACATGACCCCGTGACGGAATTTATTGCTCACTGCAAGTCTAACTTCATCATGGTGAACTGAATCAGAACATCCCCAGGCTGAAGTAGAACCTCCTGGAACCTGGCTGTTTAGGACCCTTTCAGGAAGCTGCTGTTTGAATAGGCTCAGTGAGCATCTTGGATGTGGGGTCTGCTTGGGAGGGTGATGGATAATTTTTTTCAGAGGAAAATGTCAGCATTGTCAGTGAGAACCTGCTATTATGGACGGTCCCTTCTCTTTATTGTCAACCCAGTATTGTTCCTACGTCCTGTGTGCCGTGTTCATCTCCCTCAGCACAGGAATTGGGCTCATACTACCTCTCAGGACGAATCCAGTCAGCCGAGGATGCTAGGAATTCAGAAACTGAGACATTTTGCTGAACTGCTTTCAGTAGACTTAAGTGCTCAGAAAA